GGATTTTCTTTTATCGATGGTGGGCAGGAACCAATTGAAGCACTCTTGACCCTAATCAAACAAAAGACTGTGGCATATCATGATGCCATTCCTAAACTGACATTTACTCGGTTCCTAAATGCAACTGCCATCTTTAATCCTTTTGAATTAGTTAAAGATATGATAAAAAAATAACAAATATTAATCAGTGAAACAAATTTAAGGGTACAATGTATGGATTTCGTGAAGGACAAATTTGTTAACACATTTGGTTCTTCCACTTCCAAAGTTCGGGATGATATATCCATGGTGTCAGTATCCAATCAAGAAGGTAATCAGTTTTCTTGTCTAGCTGGTGAAGCTCAAGATCCAGATCAGAATCTTATCCAAGAGGATCCCTCAACTGAAGATTATTGGGATTCTCTAACAATTCATTTGGTAGAAAAGATGAAACCTCCAAAACAGTATAGATTCTTTTTTATCATGCCGACAGAAGATGCAAAAGCACTTTCTCCAGATTCTTTGATTCTACAAGAAGGAAGACGAGGAACTTTAAAAGTCTTTGATTCCACCGTTCCCTACCACTGTCAGAAGTATATCATTACTATCCAACAAGGAGACAGAACATAGTGGTGGGCGATCGATTGTATTTTCCAGCACGCCAACTATCCCCTATGCGGACTTGAAATTTTAATTTCAAGTCCAAATTTTATGTATAAATACAGGACAATGTTTTCTCTCAATGTATCTTTCAGTTTTCTTTCTCTCTCTCCCTTGTAATATTTTTACTTTCTTCTTTATTGAACTTTGAAGTAGAGTACACTTAGAAATTTTATAGAAATTTTTTATTTTCTTTAAATATATTCTAGTTTAATTATATTTTCCTTTATTAAAGAAACTCATAATAAATATATAAATAGGTAATATGTGTTAGAGTTTTATAAAAAAAAATTTAAAAACTCTTTTTATATGAATTAATAAATATTTTTATATATTTATAATTTTTGTCTAATTAGATTACTTTTTATTAAAAAATCTCATAATAAAAGGTAATTTGTGGTATAGTTTTAGAAAAATTATTTCATTTTTTTTATCAATTAAAAAATATTTTTATATTAATAGTTATTCTCTAATTAGATTTTCTTTTATTAAAAAATTTATAATAAATAAATAGGTAATTTGTGTTAGAGTTTAATAGAAGCTCTTTTAAAACCTTTTTTTATATTAATTAATTAATAATTTTTTTATATTAATAATACTTGTCTAATTAGATTTCTTTTTATTAAAAAAATTCATAATAAATAGACAAATAAGTAATTTGTGTTAGTGTTTTATAGGAATTCTTTAAATATATTTTTGTCTTGTTTTATTGAAAATAAAATTTTTTGATACAGTTTTATGGATATTATTTTATTAGATTTCATTTTATTATGAACCTTATAATAAAATATTTTTTATATTAATAATTATTGTCTAATTAGATTTTTTTTAATTAAAAAATTTATAATAATAAATAGATAAATAGGTTTGTTTTATTTTTTTATTGGATAGATTTTGGAATTTTATAGAAGTTAGATAGATTTTGGAATTTTATAGAAGTTTTTTTTTTTTTTTAAAAAAAACTCCATAAAAAATAACTATTCTTTCTATATCTATTAATAAATATTTTATTTGTTAAATTTTAGATTTTTGTAAATTTTTTTTATTTTTATTTTTAATAAAAACTCTTTTCATATCAATTAGTAAAAAATTACTATTCTTTTTATGTCAATTAATAATTATTTTATTAGGTTTTTTTTTTTTTTTTTTTTTTTTTTTAATAAAAACTTTTTTCATATCAATAAGTAAATACTGATAGACCTAAAAATGTAGATAAAAATTATTTTTATATTAATTAATAAATATATTTTTTATATAAATAAATAAATATTGAAATACTAAAACTCTTTCGAGCTTCTGTATTTTACTCTCGAATTTTGGATTTTTAGAATTCTTAATTTCTGTACTTCGTCCTCGTCCTCATTCCTTTTTCCATATCTCTATTTATAAACTTCTTGAATTAATAGGATGATGACATGTATCCTCTCTTGATAATGGCATAATTATAAATGGGTCAAGCCGATTATATTATGATAATTATTCATAAATTTTCTTTTTAGAGTTTTATATAAATAAATACTGAAATAGTGAAACTCTTTGCACATTTAGTAATAGTATAGATTTATATATATAATATTATGATTATTTTTTTATGTTCATCTATTTGTAAGCATTTGCTCCGAATTTTGACAATTAGTGTTAATGGCTATTGAATCCGAGTATGAAGTTGCTCTTATTAGCTTGGGTTTAAAAAACAATGGGGAAACACCATTGTGTTGTGCTTATTATTCACTGGGAAATGGATATGATATTAAAGTTGAAGTATTTGTTTGCTCTAATGGAAGGAGAACTGGACGATTTGAAACAGAAACAGATGCGTGAGAAAGAAAGGGGGGCTGGCTGTGACGGCGAGGTGGAGACAGGCTGTTTGTGAGCGCGAGGCGGCGGAGATGGACGGTTCGCGGCAGAGCTCGGCCCATGATGGTCTGACTCGGCTGTGATGGACGGCGGGGAGCTCAGCTGGTGGAGGGCTCGGTCGTGAGAGGAATGGTGGTCGATGAGACAAATCCGGCGATGGGCGTGCGGTTCGCGACGTGATGGCAGCTGCTGTGATGGACGGCGGGTTGTGGAGAGCAGTGGGCGACGATGACTGAATGGCTGTGGGGAGCTGTGAAGAACCTAAAAATGGTCACTTGCACACAACCTAGATCTCATTATGTTGTAGAGAGAGACATTGTGTTTTACAGAGAGTGTTCTATGCGTAAAGTGAGAAGATAAAGGACATTGAGCCAGCTTAAGATGCCCTAATTATGGACAACGCCGTATTGACTTGGCCTCTTTTGTATTTTCACAGTTCATGTTAGTTTAATTATTTTTTAAAATCATATAGGAAAAGAGTATTTAAGTCTATTCGCAGTTCTGGGATCGAAGAACAGACAAAAGGGGCTAATTCACAACATTCTTTTTTTATTATTTATTTATTAAAAGAGGGGTGGTTAACAAACGGAAGGGGGTTATACGCACAATTTGAATACCATAGGGAGTTATTCGCGCGCGACCCAAACAATAAATATGGAAAGTTTTATTTGTGTGATATTTGTCCAAATTTCATGGGAGGTCTGTAATTTACATTGAAGGGTATTATTACAAGGTGTTAGTAAAAAAGTCTTGAAAATTTTGTTTATTAGAATATTGTTAGTATAGCTTTTTCTTTTTTATTTATTTGTTTTAAAATTTTATTTTAAATCTTTTATTTTTCTCTAAATTAAGTCTTGTATCTAAATTTACTAGTTTTGAGGTTTTGTGTCTCCTCTTAATCTGGACACTAATGTTATGTTTGGTTGGAGGGATGGATTGGGGAGGGATGGATCAATGTTTTTATGTTTGGTTGGAGGAGAGAAGAGATGGAGGAAGCAAGGAGGGATGCTTTATCCATCCTTGCTATACATTTTCCTATCTGCCCAAATTTGGGGGGAAGAGTGGAGAGAAAAAAGGATAACTACCAATTTTGGTTGTAATTTTCATTTTTGTCCTTCCTAAAAATTGTTAAAACCCTACTGCGTTATACAACTATACTGATTATTTTGCCGGCAAACTTCATTGAAGCTGATAAACTTTGTTGAACATAGATTCTTGAAAAGCACAACTCAGGTACCTTTTCTGTTTTCTACACTTTTAATTTTGTGTGTGTGTGTATATATATATATATATATATATTTTTTTTTTCTGTAACAACCAACCCCAAGCACAAGATTTATTAATTACCCAGTAGAGTTTCATCAATATAGAAACTTCATACAGTTATTTCTTTTGCAGATAGGGTATTGTCAATTATTAATTACTTAGTAGAGTTTCATCAATATAGAAACTTTATTAAAATAAATATCTCCATAAATAAATCATTTTTTACTAAATTTTTTCTCTACACACGTTTTCTGATATTCATCTTGATCATTTTGGTCTGTTCTACCTTCTCTTCCTTTTTTTGTTTTTTTGTTTTTTTTTTTAGTTAAAGCTACCTTCTCTTCCTTACTATAACAATACCCCCATATTTTACGCCCCAATTTCATTATACCAGCAACCAAAATGCTTTCTATAGCAACCATTAATATTGCAACACCCACTGCCAATCGAGCTGCTTGAGGTCGCCCCGCACCCAATTCATTTGATACTCTTATGCTAAAGTTTATTCATTTGTATTAATTTCCTACCATGTTTATTCATTTGTATTAAGGCCAAGAATATGTACATTAATCGATTAGTACACTGATATTGTGTTACAGACATTTTGTTTGTTTTAATTTCCTACCATACAATATATATATATACCTGATGGACATGCCATTATTATAAATTTAATCTCACAAGCCAGAGGAAATGTATTTGCAACTATATGTGATATATATACACACTTAATACTTTTATTTCACTACATACATACATTTATATTTGTTGCTTTGTTTAATCATCTCTGTTGTTTATATTTTATCTTCTATGATGATTAACTAATTTTAAAATTTTTCTCATGACTAGTTAATGGTTTTATTTGTTTATTAATGATAAAATTTCTCTCATGCTGCACTTTTATCATTTTGTCAATATATGGTTTAGTGTTAATATATAGTTATATACATATATCAATGATAATTGACTAAAAAAAATTAGGCGACTCATTATTGACTAATTATTTTAAATTTTAATTCATTTGTCTTACTAATTATCTATTGATTACATACATTTGCTAGATGGAAATAGAAGGAGATTTATATAAGAGTGGGGATAAGAATGAGACACATGAACTACAAGACTGTGAAGAAGAAACTTTTGGTAATAATGTTGTAGAATATTTAAATAGCTGGGAATGAAGACGAAAGATACAGGTGGTTCAACTTATTTGTTATGTTGTTCGTATCCTTTACATGATGGGAATGACATTCCATTCACACCATGTGAATAGGGCAATAAATGATATTGATGGGGAAAAACTTAGTATGCGTGAACAACTAATGAAAAAACTTGCTTCTAATGAGAATTGTCGAGATATATTACGTATGGGACCATATGCATTTGCTAAATTGTGTAACATACTTCGTTTCACTGGTCGTCTCAAGGACAATAGAAGTGTTTTGGTTGAGGAGAAAGTAGCAAAGTTTCGTTATATCTTGTTGCATAATGTGAAGAATCGTGCCATTCAATTCTTCTTTATTCGATCCGGCGAGACCATTAGTCGTCATTTTCATGATGTACTAAAAGCAATAATCAGTTTAGAAGATTTATACCTACAACCACCAAGAGGTTCCGAAGTCCCTCCAGAAATACGCCATAGTAACAGATTTTATCCCTATTTCAAGGTAAAAAATTTAATTTATATGATTAATATTATCTTTCAAATATTTATGACATATAGAATAATAATAATAGCTTTTTTAAAAAAATGCTTTTATTCGTGTAGGAGCCATAGATGAGACTCATATTCGTGTGAAAGTATCTAAAAAAAATGCACTAAGATATCGGGGAAGAAAAGACTATCCAACACAAAATGTCCTAGCAGCATGCTCGTTTGACATGAAATTTACATATGTTTTGCCTGGGTGGGAAGGAACGACATCTGATTCAAGGGTCATAAAAAATTCCCTTTCAGAACGAGAAGAAAAACTAATAATCCCTGAAGGTAACTTATAGTCATTTGTATCAAATTTATGATTTATGATGACATAAGTTAAAAATAGTAACTTATAATGTTTTTATTTCTTCAAGGTAAATATTATTTAGTGGATGGAGGTTATATGTTAACGAGTGGACTAATAACTCCATATAGAGGTGTTCGGTATCATTTGAAAGAATACTCATCACGTGCACCAGAAAATGCTCAAGAATTATTTAATCTTCGACATTCTTCCTTGCGCAATGTAATTGAAAGAGTATTTGGAGTGCTTAAAAAACGATTTCCAATTATTTCAATGGGTGCAGAGGCTCATTACCCAGTTGATACAGTTACAGAGATTGTTTTAGCATATTGTATCCTACATAATTATCTAATGGGTGTAGATCCTGATGAAAGATTGATTAAAGAAGTTGAATGAGACCTCATGAACATGGATGTACATAATGATGGGGAGAGATACACACTCATTAATGATGACGAAGCTAAGCAAGGATCAATTATAAGGAATGCCATAGCAACTAACATGTGGGAGGACTACGAACTATGATGTTTCTATTTTTTCTTTATATTTGTTACAACATTTTCATGTCTTTAATTTATTGAATCATGATGACATTTTATTTCTAATTACTATATATTGTTATGTTAGATGCCTATTTCACATTAAAATTTGTCATTTGTGGGTTTATATTTTTACTTCTTTTTATTTTTTATTTTTTATTTTTTAAATATGTGCTGTAGAGAATTTATTTTTATATGATATAAAAAAAATTACAGGTCGTAGAAATAAAGAAATCAAATAACAATGTGAATATGAATGATATTAAGAAAGATTCATTAAAGTGGACTGAAGAAATGGATGATATATTACTTCATGCATTATTGGAGCAACAAGAAAATGGGAACAGAGTTGATGGAACTTTCACATCTACTGCATATTCAAATGTTGCGTGAAAAATCGTATGAAAACAATGAAAAATAATTTTAACACATGTTATGACTTGTTCAAAATTTAAGTGGGATATCATGGAGTCCAAAAACAAAACTCTTTGAAGCTAAACCAGAAGTATGGAAGGCCCTCATAGAGGTATGCAATCATTTTATTATTTATTTTAATTATTTTGCTTTTAGTTTATTTAATCATGTATATATATATTTGAATAATGCATGATATATGTTTCTTACTTTTAGGCAAAACCATTAGCTTCAAAATGGAGGCACACCAAAATCAACCATTATGGTAAGTTGTTTGAACTTTTTACAAAAGATAAGAGCTACTGGTCAAGGTGCTATAAGTGCAAAGGAAAAAGTTCGCAAATGGGGAACAGAGAATGGTACCTCAAGTAGTACTCAAAACAACAACCATGAGTCAAATTCACAATTGGGGGGCGGGGGGGGGGGGGGGGGGGGGGTGGTTCTTCAAAGGGTTCAAAAAGAAAGGATATAATGGCTGATGTGTTTGAGAGAGAGATTGAAGTTATTGGATCTGGAATTAACAAAGTAATCAAGGCAATTGAAAAAGGAAATCTTGTTGCTGAGAAGGGATTCGAAATTGCAGCAAAGAGAGTTGCAATAGTTGAGAAAACACAAGCTAATTATCATCCAGATGAAGAATTATTTGCTGAACTAATGAGAATTGGAGTTCTTGATAATAAACAGTTGAATGTATTTATATTCCTTATCAAATACCCTCAGCACAAAAGCGCATTTTTTGCTGTTCCAACTGGGAGGCGTCTTGAATTGCTTAATATGGTGATGGACAGAGGAAATGACTCTTGAAGAGTCAGTAATTTTTTGTTCATGCATTTTTTTTTTTTTTTTTTTTTTTCATGCACTACATTTCAATTATTGTTATATACTTTATTTGTTTGTTTTGGTTGAAGATTTGGTTTCTTCATTTACATAAATAAAATAAACTGGTCGCTCTTTTAGGACTCATTAAATTTTATTCAAGATGTTCTTACATTGTTCACTTTCATTTTTGTGGCATGAAAATATTAGTGAATGTAAAGTATAGGAGTGATTTTTCTAATGATAGCAAAAGGTTCAAACATATCTTATGAAATGTTTTACTCTGTCTTATAAATCAGTAATTGCGCACTGGGCATTTTCCAGTGATTGAATATTGTGAGAAGTATGAATTGTTGAACTTGCTAATTAGAAAAACCTATTTAACACCATCTGAATTTTGAAGTATATTGTGAGAAGTATGAAATGTTGAATTTGCCAATCAGATAACCCATTAATAGTACAACATCTGAATTTTGAAGTATTCATTTAAAAAAAAAAAAAAAAAAACTATCATGGTACGTATAAAACATTCAATTTAGACAACTTGTTACTAGAACTCAATATTATTAAATAATTTTAAATTAATTAATTTTATAACTTTATATAGTAAGGGTATATTAGTAAAAAGTGTATAAAAACTATCATTTCCTTCCGTCCAACTAAACAAAAAAAAACTACCCTTCTATCAATCCTTTCTGTCATCTCTTCCATTCAACCAAACAAAAAATGAAGGAGACACTTTCCCTTTCCTAGGGATTACTCATCCATCCCTCCCCCTCCCCTTCCATCCATTTTTCCATCCCTGCAACCAGACGGAGCATAAGAGACAAATGGATGCAGATCAATGCGAATATTGGACAGAAATAGACAACTAGAGAAAGAATTCAGCTGTATAAGCACTTCAAAAGTGAAAATTGGACTGAACCTACTAGAGAAAGACTTTAGCAGCATAAACAGTTCAAAAGTGCAAAAATTGGGTGCTGCCACATCAGTATAAGTAAAAAAACACTTGGACAACAGAGGTGAACGATGCCCAAGAGTTTGAATATTGGTCTTACACATTGCGAAGGTTCAAGGATGCAAGTCCGCCAAGTTCTCAAGAAATGTAAACAGCCAAAATATTGACGGAAAACAACTCTTTTTTTGAGGATGATCTTGGGAATTATGTTGATGGTATCAGCATATAGATTTGTTCTGTTATTAAAATCTATATTTAAATTCAAATTTTCTTGTATTCAGCAATTGGTTACATATTCCTTAAGACTAGGATCCTTCCTTGTATCTAGCCTTGTATCTAGATGTGAATTAGTTTTTCCTTAACTCTATATGTACAGCTCTTTTGATTAATGAAAATATGAAGCTTCATTACATTTGTGTCACTTCCTATATGGTATCAGAGCATCTCAATATTCTCCTCCATTAATTTTTATTTTATTTTTATTTTTATTTATTTATTTATTTATTTTTATCTCCTTCCATTTTTCTTCCCTTCTCATCCAACCACAACATGACCACCCAAACCAACTCCTCAGATACTGCTTCTCCCTCCAGCTCTCAAAACTAAGAGGTCCCTTTTATCACAATAAATATCTCAGCTCAAGCACCTCTCAAACTCACATCCACAAACTACATCTCCTGGAAACTTCAATTTGAAACTCTCTTCATTGGATATGACCTCATTGGGTATATCAATGGATCTACCCCCTGTCTTCCAACCACCATTACTAACAACAACATCACAATAGTGAATCCTTCTCATAAACTCTGGATTCGCCAAGATCAGCTACTGCTCAATGCCTTGATTGGCTCTCTCTCCCCTACCATCATTCCCTTTATTGCCCGTGCAGGAACTACTAATGAAGCCTGGACCATACTTGCAAACACGTATGCAAAACCCTCTCATGGCCGTATTAAACAGGTCAAAAACCAACTCAAAAACCCAACCAAAGGCACTCTGACCATAACTGAGTATCTACACTCTGTTAAAGCCCGTGTTGATGAACTGGCTATACTAGGTGCCCCATTGGATCTCGAAGATCTCACAGACAAAATACTGGATGGCCTAGGAGACGACTCCAAAGAACTTGTCCGTGCAGTCCAAGCTCGTGACACATCCATTTCCTTTGATGAGCTTAACGAAAAGCTTCTCTCCTTTGAAGCCTCCACATCAGCAACCAACAGTCCAACAACTTCTCTGCCCATTACAGCTAATCCCACACAAAAGACCAATCAAACATGGTGTCCACCCAAAACCAACAACAATTGGCGTCCCTCTCATTCCTCACCTGCTGGTAACTCAAATTGGTGTCCTTCAGCTGACACAAATGGTCATCCCCCTCTGTTCTCAAACACACGTTCCCAATATCAAAATAATCGCCCTCCATCCCTACACACAGCCAAGAGATGTCCCTCCTTTCAGGTGATACCGATTCAGTCCTCTACTAGTGCGCCTACATCATCCAACAATCCTACAGCTCCTTGGCAGCCTAGAGTTCACTTTGCAGCCAACACCATAGCCACCAACCCGACATGGTTACTTGACAGTGGCGCATCTCATCACGTCACCGCAGATTTAAACAATTTGTCTCTTCACTCGCCTTACAATGGATCAGATGATGTTATTGGAGATGGTACAAGTCTCTCCATCACACACACCGGTTCTACACATCTTTCTTCCCCTAACTCAACTTTCAAATTGTCTGATGTACTCTGTGTACCAACTATGAAAAAAAATCTGATTTCCATTTCTCAGTTTTGCATCACTAATAATGCTTCCGTTGAATTCTTACCCTCTTCTTTTTCTGTGAAGGATCTTCGCTCGGGGGCAATTCTGTTCCAGGGCAGTACTAAGGATGGAGCGTATGAATGGCCGGCTACCACACTTGTGTCTACACCGATTTTAGCCTTCTCAACTACCAAAACAACATCCACCAACTGGCATCATCGTTTAGGACATCCAGCTTCTCCCATTTTACAGCATATTCTATCTAAATACCACTTAGAATCATCTTCATCTTTGACAAAAGATTTCTCATGTAATGTATGCCTCTGCAATAAAAGTCATAAATTACCATTTTCTGTTTCATCCCTTGTGTCTACACATCCTCTTCAAATTATTTTTTCTGATGTTTGGACTTCTCCTGTTATGTCTTCTAATGGCTTTAAATACTATGTCATTTTTGTCGATCACTTTACCAAATACATCTGGTTTTATCCCCTCAAAAGAAAATCTGATGTTCAAGAAGTATTTCAGCGCTATAAAACCAGTGTTGAAAATTATTTTAACCACAAAATCATCACTCTCTACTCCGACAATGGGGGAGAATATCTAGGCCGCAAAGATTTCCTTTCTAAAGCTGGTATTAATCATCTAACCACTCCACCTCATACACCTGAACACAATGGCTACTCTGAACGTAGACATCGTCACATTGTCGAAACTGGACTCACCCTACTCTCCCATGCCTCTCTTCCTTTAACCTTTTGGTATCATGTATTCACTACTGCTGTCTATTTAATTAATAGAATGCCCACCCCTACTCTCAACCTCTCTAGTGCCTTTGAATTAATTTTCAAAACCACACCAAACTACTCTAAACTCAAAAATTTTGGGTGCTTATGTTATCC